CACGGCCCAGTGTCTGCGCACCTGACAGGGAGTCGGGGCTTTCTCCCTCCTTCCAGTACCTGGGGAAGCCCGGATTGGCCTTCGCACCCAAACGAAACAAGTGCATTGTGTTGGGGACACACGGCAGTTAGGGAAGCCTCTGCTGTCTGGACCGTGAGTCCCCAAACCTGGGGCTGGCATGGCAGTACAGCAAGTTAGACTGCTGCCTGCTTGCTACGCCAGCGTCTCCTAACAGCGCCATTGCAAGTCGCGGCTGCTCTGCCTCCAATCCAGCTCGCTACTAATGCACCTGGGACAACAGCAGGCGATGAAACAAAACAAAACAAAACAAAACAAAAAACAAACAAACAAACAAAAACAGCAGGCGATGGCTGAGGAGCTTGGGCCCAGCCCCGCCATTGCAGCCATCTGGGGAGGGAGCCAGTGGATGGAAGGTCTCTGTCTCTTTTTACCTCTTTCAAACAAATAAATATTTTCTAAAAATAGCTAGTATTGCTTCCCGAGCACTTCCCGTTAGCCAGGTGTTGTGTCCCAGGAACCCCTTCAGGCAAAATTTTTCCTTTTGGGTTCTTGTATCCACATTTGTAAAATGAGGCTGGGCTGGCATGGTGGCACAGTGGGTTAAGTCACTGCCTGGGATGCCGGACACCAGCTCCCTGCTGACACACCTAGGAAAGCAATGGGAGATGGCCCACGTGAGAAACCCACGTGCACTTCCAGGCTCCTGGCTTCGCATGGCTGAGTCCAGGCTGCTGTGGCCACTTGAGGAGCAAACCAGGGGATGGAAGAGCTGTCTCTCTCTCTCTCGCTCTCTCTCTGTAGCTCTGCCTTTTAAACCGAGCAATCTGGGGCTGGTATTGTGGTGTAACGGGTTAAGCTGCTGCCTGCAGCACCAGCATCCCGTATGGGCACTGGTTTGAGTCCCGGCTGCTCCACTCCTGATCCAGCTCCCTGCTTACGCAAGGGGAGAACAGCAGAGGACGGCCCAAGTCCTTGGGCCCCTGCACCCATGTGGGAGACCCGCAAGAAGCTCCTGGCTCCTGATCTGCCCAGTGCTGGCTGTTGCGACCATTTGGGAAGTGATCCAGTGGATGGGATTTTTCTCTCTGCAACTCTGTATTTCAAATAAATAAGTCTTAAAAAAGATCGTCTACTTCCTTGCCAGTCATAGGAGATCCCCACCGCTCACAGGTGACCCACAACTCAACTCTGCAACACAGCGAATGCAGAGTGAGACACTCAGAGGGTCTGAGTGAGAGGCAGGTGTCCCAGGTGCCTCAGGGCCGGAGTGACCTCAGCAGCAGCACTGGGCGGGTGGGGTGGGGAGCTGACCTGGCAGAGCAGGTGAGACCTGGATGGGTGGGGCAGAGCGTGGCGTTCCTGGGAAGAGGCGTGGCTGGGCCCGGCCACGGGAGGCCTGGTGAGCCTGGGTAGGGGCTTCCTCAGTTTGAGTGCTGGGATGTGAGCAACGAAGCTGCAAGATCTGAATCATGAAATCCACTTAAAGAAAACACGCAGACGTAAAAGAACAGTTGGGCACTTCGGGCCCGTTATCAGATTAAGGAATAGAACATGGCCTCTTTTATTTTATTAAGATTTTATTTATTTAAAAGTCAGAGTTATGGGGGCGGAGGGGTTGTCTTCCATCTGCTGGTTCACTCCTCAACTGGCCGCAACAGCCGGAGCAGAGCCAATCCGAAGCCAGGAGCCAGGAGCTTCTTCAGGTCTCCCATGGGGTGCAGGGGCCCAAGCACCTGGGCCATCCTCCACTGCCTTCCTGGGCCACAGCAGAGAGCTGGACTGGAAGTAGGGCAGCCAGGACTCACGGGCGCCCATCTGGGATGCCGGTCCTGGAGGCCTCTGTCTTGTGAGTCCTCTGTGCGACCTGCCCTGGCTGTGGTTGCCACCCTTCCTCTGTAGCTAATCACTAAGCCCAATTTCTCTTTTTTCACTGGAGTGACAAAGACACAGACCTGCTGTTTCACTCCCCAAATGCCTGCATCGCCTGGGGCTGGGCCAGGCTGAAGCCAGCACAGAACTCCACCTGGGTCTCCCGCTTTGGTGGCAGGGCCCCAACTCCTCCAGCCATCGCCGGCTGCCTCCTAGGGTATTACATGAGCAGGAAGCTGGCCTGGAAGCAGAGGAGCCAGGACAGGGGATGCGGGTGCCCCCCATGGCCACCGAACCCCCTGCAAACACCCAGGCCGGCTGTAGAAGCGCACGGGTTCCGTGCTGCTGGGTCCCGTCAAACCATTTCCTGAAGACCTTGTATCAGCTTACACCCCGACTGCAGATGGCCACAGTTCCTCCTCCTCTCGGCCAACCCTTCACTACTCTCCACCTTTAAAACTGTTCTTATCTGGTGGGCAGTGAAAAAGAATCTCATTTTAGCTTTAATCTGCATTTTCTTGATTGTTGATGCAGCTGAAGTGTATGCTTATGGTCCCCTTAAGTCTCTTCCTGGAAGCCACCCTAAGGAGTGCGTTAAATCACTCCCGTTGCCTTGCTGGCGTTAGACACCACGTGGATACTTTCTCCCTACCAGGGTTGAAATGATGCACGCAAATATGTACTGCACCTCCAAGCATCTCCCAGACACTGCTCTCTTCTTGTTAACATTTATTTTATTGGGGGCTGCCACCTGCGTGCCGGCATCCCATATGGGCGCCAGTTTGAGTCCCGGCTGCTCCTCTTCCGGTCCAGCTCTCTGCTGTGGCCCAGGAAGGCAGTGGAGGATGGCCCAAGTGCTTGGGCCCCTGCACCCACGTGGGAGACCCAGAAGAAGCTCCTGGCTTCCGATTGGCACAGCTCCGACCATTGCAGCCACTGGGGAGTGAACCAGCGGATGGAAGACTTCTCTCTCTGCTTCTACCTCTCTGTAACTCTTTCAAATAAATAAATCTAGGGGAAAAAAGATCTATTTTATTTGAATGACAGAGAGGGAGGGAGGGAGGGAGGGAGGGAGAGAGAGAGAGAGAGAGAGAGAGAGAGAGTGTCTAACTGCTGGTTCACTTCCCAAATGGTTGCAAAGGCCAGTGCTGGCCTGGAGCCAGGTGCCAGGCACTCCACTGTCTCCCACATGGGTGGCAGGGGCCCAAGCACTTGGTGCATCACCCATCCTTTCCAGGCTGTTAGCAGGGAGCCCGATCTGAAGGGAGCAGCCAGCACACGAACCGGAGCTCCAATATGGGATGGCGGTGTCGCAGGTCGTGGCGCAGTCAGCTGAGCGAGGTCACCAGCCTGCCCAGGTCTTACTCTCTCTGTACACCCTGCACACAGGAAGAACCCAGCCCACAGTTTCCTAACGGACACTACAGGCTGGACGGACCTGCTTCAGTCTTCCAGCTGCTGTCTAATACTTCACAGATCGAGTGAATCAGTTTCGCCAGTCCTCCTTCCTCTGTAAACTAAGTCAGCCGGGGCCGGGGGAGCAGGTAAAGCCACCGCCTGCGGCGCCAGCAGCCCACGTGGGTGCCAGTTCGAGTCCCGGCTGCTCCTCTTCCGACCCGGCTCTCTGCTGTGGCCTGGGAAAGCAGAAGACGGCCCAAGTCCTTGCACCCACGTGGGAGACCCGGAAGACGCTCCTGGCTCCCAGCTTTAGGTCGGCTCAGCTCCGGCCATTTGGGGAGTGAACCACCTGTTTGGAAAACCTCTCTCTCCTCTGTAACTCTGCCTTTCAAATAAATAAATAAAATCTTTAAAAAAAGCCCAGGCTTCTCCTTTGGGACACACGTCATTTCCCAGACTTCAACGTTTCCTTCACGAAGGAGCCCACAAAGCCTGGGTTGCTCAGCGGCCAGGCACCCTCTGGTGATTTCCCAAAGAGAGTGGCCACGCAGGTAGGAAGGGAGGCGACTCTCACGCTGGTCTCGCACACAGCAGCCGACATGCCCGCACAGGAGGGGACCCTCTGGGCCAAGCCCGGAGAGGCTGGCTGTGCCTGCCCGGGCGCGCTGAGACCTGGGGGAGCCTCCAGACCCGGGGGAGGAGCGGCCGCGTTAACGCCTCGCCTTGCTGGCCTCTCAGCGCTGGGCTGGCGCTCAGCGGCCGCGGTCACCTCCCGGACACCCACAGCCTGGTCTCAGAGCCCGAGCTGACAAGGACGGCACACGTCCCCGGACACCTGCAGGGGCCTGGTGCGTCTCGGGTAAGAGCCAAGGCCTCCAGCGTGTCCATCCTGCCTTCCCCACAGGACTGCGCGTGGATCGGCGCGCTCGCCTCGGCGGGCCCTGACCACTCGCTCGCCTCGGCGGGAGCCCACACTGCTCCCCCACGGCCCGCGGCCCTCGCGGCCAAGTCCAGGCAGGCCCGGGGGCGCCCTCAGGCCGCGGCGGGCGGCGAGGCCGCTGCTGCAGGGCAGGTGCGCCCCGGCGTCCCGACGCAGGGCCGAGAACGGGGAGAACTTCCGCCCGGAAGCAGCGCCACGCTCGGCTTCCGGTTCCTCTCGCCCCGGTAGCCTGGGGCCTTTTATCCCAGTTGGCAGCGGCCCTCAGCCCGAGGCTACCCCACCCAGCCGCTCCCCGGGACCTCCACACCCTGCGCAGCCGTTTGCACGTCCCGCGGGGCGACGGCTACGCCATGACGTCACCGCGAGCCGGGGGCCGGGCCGGCGGCGCCGAGGGCCTGGAGGCGGGACTAACTTAGACTGACGTCCACACCCGCCCGTTGCCTTCCTGAGTCCTTCTCAAACCGACCAATAAAAGCGACGACGGCGCCTGCGACGTGCCCCAGCCGCTCCAGGTGGCCCCGCCCCCTCCACTTGGCCACGCTCTGGCCGCCATGCGTAGTGTGGCTACGGCATCTGGGGCGCTCTAGGCTCCTACGCGGCTTTCCGGTGCCCTTCCTGGACTCCTTCCCAAGTTCTGCCTCCCTTCCACCGTCACTCTCGACGTTCCCGGCTCCTCCCTCGCTCGTTGCGAGTCCGGCCACATTCGAGATGGCGGCCGGGGGCGGGGCCGGGCCGGGGCGGGGCCGGCGCGGTGACGTCAGCGCGCTGCGTGTCGGCAGGTGGAGGGAGAAGGGAAAGTTTGGCCCGCGCGTGGGGCTCGGGCGGAGGGCGGGACGGAGGGGCTGGGCCCGGACGGATCCGCTGTGGCCGCGGCTGCGGAGGCCGAGGCCGGACACGGAGGCGCCGTCCGACCCGGGGCCGGTCCCGACGCGGCGGGGGGGGGCGGGGCGGCGCGCGGCCCGGAGCCGGCGGAGGTCAGCGAGTTTGAGGGAGGCCCGCGGCCCGCTGCCGCCGTCATGTCCGAGGAGGCGAGCGCCCTGCCCTGGTCCATCAACAGGGACGACTACGAGCTCCAGGAGGTGATCGGTGAGAGCGGGGACGGCGGGCGCGCGGCGGCGCGTGCTGGGCGGGGCCGGGGCGGGCCGGCCTGTGCGCGGCTGCGTGCGGGACGGAGTGCGGGAGCCGGGCTGTCCGGGGCGTCCTCGCACGGGGAGGTCGTGCGTGGGGCAGCGCGGGGACCCACGTGCGGTTCCGGGCAGCTGCTGGGCGGTGCCGGGGCGGGCCGGCCTGTGCGCGGCTGCGTGCGGGACGGAGTGCGGGAGCCGGGCTGTCCGGGGAGGTCGTGCGTGGGGCAGCGGGGGGACCCACGTGCGGTTCCGGGCAGCTGCTGGGCGGTGCCGGGGCGGGCCGGCCTGTGCGCGGCTGCGTGCGGGACGGAGTGCGGGAGAGGGGCGTCCTCGCCCGTGAGGTCGTGCGTGGGGCAGCGCGGGGACCCACGTGCGGCGGTTCCGGGCAGTTGCTGGGCGGGGCCGCGGCGCCGGGGCGGGCCGCGACCTGATCCCGCAGCCCTGGCAGTCCGACGGGGTCCGGGGCACCCGGCGGTGGAGACCCCGGAGGGGACGCGGCGGCCAGGACGTGGGGTGCAGAGGGCGGCCAGAGCCCCGCGAAGCCAGAGCGGGTGGGTGCACTTAGCCAGACCCGGGCTCTGCCGCCCGACCCGAGCTGACCGCTGCGTGTTGCCAGCCTCCTGCCTTGGAACAAGTTTTTTTGAAAAGATTTCTGTATTTACTTGAAAGACAGTGACGAGGTCTCCCATCCGCTGGTTCGCTCCCCACAGGCCGCAACAGCCAGGGCCGCACCGCCGAAAACGGGAGCCAGGACTCCCTCCAGGTCTCCCGCGGGGGCCGCAGCGGCCTGCACCTGCCGTCTGACACAGGGCGGGGAGCTGGTCAGAGCGGGGCCGTGGGGCCCTAGCATCAGCCAGGCAGCAGAGGACCGGACCTCCTCGGGTGTCCTGCCCTGTTCTCTGCCCGTTCCCGTGGGAGGAGGCGCCGTGTCCTGAGCCGCTGCGTGGCCGGGTGCGCCCTGCGTGCCGCTCTGGCGTGCGCTCTGCACTGCGTCTGCGTCCTCGGCTCCCCTCGAGGGCGAGAAGTCGGGAGGGGTCCCTGGCATGTCGTGGGGACTTGGCTCCGTGTGGGGCCCCTCTCTGGCGTGAGCCATTCTTGACGCTCTCACCGCAGCGTGGCCCGAGTTTCGGAGTGGCAGGCTCTGGAGACGGGTGCCTTGCTCGGTGGCGTCTGTGGCAGGTGTCTGGCGGGCAGGGACCTTCTCCCCGGAAGAGGGCTCGTTGCCATCACACTCACCACGTGCTCAGAGTTCATAAAGATGAGCAACCCAACGTGATTCACGGCTTTTTTTTTTTTTTTTACAATCTTTTTTTTCCTTTTAAGTTTTTATTTATTTGAAAGAGTTACAGAGGGGGAGAGGGAGAGGGAGAGGTCTCCCATCCACGGGTTCATTGCCCAGACGGCTGCAATGGCCTGGTCTTGGCCAGGGTAAAGCCAAGAACCTGCAACTCCATCCAGGTCTCCCACGTGGGGGGCAGGGGTCCGAGGATTGGGCCATCCTCTGCTGCTTTTCCGCGCGTTAGCAGGGAGCTGGATCGGAAGTGGAGCTGCTTGCACTTGAATCAGAGTTCAGATGGGATGCAGTTGGTGGCTTAACCCACTGCCCCACAATGCTGGCCCCTACAATCAATTCCTTTTTTTTTTTTTTTCCCATCTGCTGGTTCATTCTCCAAATGGCTGCAACAGCTGGAGCCGTGCCGATCTGAAGCCAGGAGCCTGGAGATTCCTCTGGATTTCCCATGTGGGTGCAGGGGCCCAAGCACTTGGGCCATCCTCCACCGCTTTCCCAGGCCACAGCAGAGAGCTGGATCAGAAGTGGAGCAGCCAGGACTTGAACTGGCGACCACATGGGATGCCAGCACTGCAGGCTACAGCTTTAGCTGCTATACCATGGTACCGACCCCAATTTCTTTCTTTCTTTTTTTTTTAAAGTTTACCGGGGTGGCAAGCGCCGCAGCTCACTTGGCTAATCCTCCGCCTGCGGCGCCGGCACCCCGGGTTCTACTCCTGGTTGGGGCGCCGGATTCTGTCCCGGTTGCCCCTCTTCCAGGCCAGCTCTCTGCTCTGGCCCGGGAGTGCAGTGGAGGATGGCCCAGGTGCTTGGGCCCTGCACCCCATGGGAGACCAGGAGGAAGCACCTATCTCCTGGCTTTGGATCGGCGCAGCGCCGGCTGTGGCAGCCATTTGGGGGGTGAACCAACAGGAGGAAGACCTTTTTCTCTGTCTCTCACTAGCTCTGCCTGTCCAAAAAAAAAAAAAAAAGTGTACCGGGGCTGGTGCTGTGCTGTAGTGGCTGAAACTGCTAGCTGCAGGGCCAGCATCCTGCTCGTGCACCGGTTCTAGTCCCAGCTGCTCTGCTTCCGCTCCAGCTCCCTGCTGTGGCCTGGGAGAGCAGCAGAAGACGGCCCACGGGCCTGGGCCCTGCACCCATGCGGGAGACCTGGAGGAAGCTCCTGGCTCCTGGCTTCCGTCTGGCCCAGCCCTGGCTGTCCCGGCCATGTGGGGAGTGAACTTGCAGATGCAAGAGGTTTTTCTCTGTGTCTCTTTCTTTCTGTAACTCTGACTTTCTGATACATAAAGTAGAAAATAAAAAGCTTGTTCACTTTTATTTCTTTGAAAGAGTGAAAGAGATCTTCCATCCACTGGGTCACTCTCTGAGTGTCTGCTGCAGGCAGAGCTGGGCCGAGCCGAAGCCAGGGACCTAGAGCTCCATGCTCGTCGCCCACGTGGGTGGCAGGGACTCAGGTGTCCGAGCCGTCGCAGCCGCTGCCCCTCAGGGTGAGTGTTAGCAGGAAGCAGGCGGAAGCACCTCAGGAGGGGATGTGGTGTCCCAAGCGGTGGCTTAGCCCACTTCACCACAGCACCCTCCCTAGCCACCTTATTTTCTTATTTTCTTTCTTTCTTTTTTTTTTTTTTTAATTTTTTGACAGAGTGGACAGTGAGAGAGAGAGAGACAGAGAGAAAGGTCTTCCTTTGCTGTTGGTTCACCCTCCAATGGCCGCCGCGGCCGGTGCACCACGCTGATCCGATGGCAGGAGCCAGGAGCCAGGTGCTTTTCCTGGTCTCCCATGGGGTGCAGGGCCCAAGCACCTGGGCCATCCTCCACTGCACTCCCGGGCCACAGCAGAGAGCTGGCCTGGAAGAGGGGCAACCGGGACAGAATCCGGTGCCCTGACCTGGACTAGAACCCGGTGTGCCAGCGCCGCTAGGCGGAGGATTAGCCTAGTGAGCCCCGGTGCTGGCCCTTATTTTATTTCACTTTTTTAGTTTTAATTAATTTGTTTGAATGGCAGAGTTGCAGAGAGAGAGGGAAGGAGAGTCAGAGATGTTCCATCTGTTGGCCCACTTCCCAAATGACTGCGATGGCCGGGGCTGGGCCAGATTGAAGCCAGGAGCCTGGAACTTCTTCCAGGCCTCCCACCTGGGTACAGGTTCCAAGGCCCTTGGGTGGTCTTCTGCTGGTTTCCCAGGTGCATTATCAGGGAGCTGGATGGGAAGTGGAGCAGCTGGGACTCAAAGTAGTGGCTGTAGGCAGATGGTGGCTCAACTCACTGAACCGCAGCACTGGCCCCACTTTATTTTTGTTTTTTTAAAAGATTTATTTATTTATTTGAAATCCAGAGTTACACAGAGAAGGAGAGGCAGAGAGAGAGAGAGAGGGAGAGAGAGGGAGGTCTTCCACCCATTGGTTCACCCTCCAATTGGCCGCAGCGTCTGGAGCTGTGCTGATTCGAAGCCAGGAGCCTGGAGCTTCCTCTGGATCTCCCACATGGGTGCAGGGGCCCAAGCACTTGGGTCATCTTCCACTGCTTTCCCAGGCCACAGCAGAGAGCTGGATTGGAAGTGGAAAGGCTGGGACTCGAACTGGTGCCCATATGCGATGCTGGCACTGAAGGCAGCGGCTTTACCCACTATGCCACAGCACCAGCTCCCCACCTTATTTTTTAAAACCAAGTTACTGGGGCTGGCACTGTGGCTTAGCAGGTAAAACTGCTGCTTGCAGTGCTGGCATCCCATATGGGTGCCAGGCGGGTCCAGCTCTCTGCTGTGGCCTGGGAAAGCAGTAGAAGATGGCCCAAGTCCTTGGGTCCCTGAACCTGCATGGAAGACCCGGAAGAAGCTCCTGGCTCCTGGCTTCGGATCGGCGGAGCTCCGGCTGTTGTGGCCAACTAGGGAGAGAACCAGCGGATGGAAGACCTCTCTCTCTCTCTCTCTCTCTCTCCCCCCGCCTCTCTCTGCCTCTCCTTCTCTCTCTGTGTAACTCTGACTTTCAAATAAATAAACCTTTAAAAAAAATTCACTGAGAAAGAATTTAACACCATAAAAGTCACCCATTTTAAGCGTAGCATTTCGTAAGCTTGCCGTGGTGTAAGCCATCACTCTGGGGGTCCCTCCTGCTTGTTTGCCCACCCTCAGCCTTGACAGCCGTCGGTCAGTCTCTGTGTAGTTTGTCTCTCACGTAAATGGGATCATGCGACTTGGTCTTTGTGTTGAACGTCTTTCACTTAGCGTAATTCACTTTTCGGAGCTCTCTTGTTGGCATACTTGATAAGCCTTCCAGTCCACCTGATTAAATACATATCAGCAACGCTTAGTGATTCATAAAGTTGTCCATCATTACAGCGATCCAGTTTTAGAACATTTCCGTCATTCCAGAAAGATGCCTCATGTCCATTTGCAGTCACTCCCTGTTCCCGCCCCCAGCCCTGGGCAGCCACACCTCTGCCCCGCGTCCCTGGACTTGCCTTTCTTGCATTTCATACAGATCAGGTAACCGTGTACCATGGGCTCCTTGGCACTGGGCTTCTGCTGCCTTGCGCAGTGTGTCGGGTGCATCCTGTTGCAGCTGTGGCAGTGGGTGGTTCCTCTTGACTGGATCCCAGCTGTGGCAGTGGGTGGTTCCTCTTGACTGGATCCCAGCTGTGGCAGTGGGTGGTTCCTCTTGACTGGATCCCAGCT